ACTATTGCTATTCTCAGAGCTGGTGGGTCATTGTGAAGTCATTTAAAATGAAATCCACTCATTATTTGATATATCCATTGTTTGTCATTGCACAAAAAAAAAAATACCCTACAGAACTTCCTATTCCAGACTGTCTGAAGACAGATTAGATGTCACCCCTTTCTGTCGCTGAGCAGGAATTAGGACTAAATGGACCTACCTTGGATGTTTGAGCAAGTAACACGGGAAGCAGAGAGAAGAGGCGGCTTCTTGCGTCCAGCCTGCTCGGTTGCTTGAGATGATGGCTGTTTTCAAAGGAACTGCTATTTATTCCCTTGCCTAAACTTCTGTATTGCCAGCTGTATTTCAGCTATACTGCTGTAGCTGTATATATTGCTGAGAGATACAGTGATAAATAATGCATGTATAAGGAACTGCTCGAAAAGGAAAATAAAGGAAGAATGAAAATGAAGCCGGATGTGATGCTCTCTGTTAGGTTTTGCAGACTATAAGCAATTGGCAAAGAATTAGATCAATGGATCTGCTGTTCTGAGATGCTGAAGTTGTCCTTCATAGGCAGTGGTCCATACCAGTTGAACAGGCTTGCAGAATAGACCAGCACCAAACAGTAACAAAATATTGGAGGAGATAAAGTAATGCAGGAAATCCTTTTTCTGTCCCAGGAGCGTTCTGGTAAGGCACTTTTCTGGTTTGGAGCTAGAAGATGCAATTGGCCATTGACTTCAGGGACCGTTTGTGCTGAGCTTTGGATCTGTAGGTGTTGTTGCTGCTGGCAGGAAAGGTATTGCAGCTGTTTCGGTCTGGTATTGCGAGCTGGCTTTTCCGTAAGGCTGCTGAGTGCCCCCTGCACGTGCAGGTGCTTGGACCAGGGCCTCTTCTGTGCTTGGTTGAAGCAAGCAGAAAGGCAACAGCAGTTTCCAGAGAGCCTGCTCATGTGCTCCTTGCAGGATCTGTGGTTACAAGGCAGATTGTGTGGACGATCAGATTGAAAGGCAAAAGAAAAGTTGGTGGTTTTGTGAATAGCTTATGTGCAGTAATAACAAGTAAACGGTTTTAAAAAAGAGAAAGATTTAATTTTGCTTTGGTGAATGGAACCTGAAGCCCTTAAGTTTTACAGCACAGCTCGGACCTGAAGACATTTCTGTATTTGTTTTGGTGTGGTTGTGATTGTTACGCAAATATATTTTGGGGTGAATGGACTTGGTTTTAGGTGACCTCGAGTGAGTGTTGGCGATCAGTTACTGAAGGAGGCATATGTTACTAATTTTTTTGAGCTTTATGAAAGAGAGCCCCACTTATGGTATATATAAATGGGCTTTCTTATCTCAGTAAAGTTAGCTGCTTGAGGGAGTATGCTCTGTAGGGCAGGGATACTGTGAGAATGGATTTCAGCGGTGATCAAATAGGTTTTATCTCGTGAAATCAACACTGCATGAAATTTTATTTTAGAATATTGATACTCTTTGCTGTGGGCCAGATGCAGCCCAGGCTGGCACAGCTAATTCACTTTGGCTATGCGCCAGCAGAGCATCCTGTTTCAGCAAAGTGATTAAGCATGTGCTTATCTTTAAGCATACAGCTAAATCCTGGTGATTTCACTGCTTCTCTGTGTTGGGGCATCTCGACCAGGGGACAGGACAGCCACAAGGAGGGAGCTTGCAGTCCCACCTTCCTTTTTCAGGACTTCTCCTGTTTTGGAGCTAGGTCTGTTATTAGAGAGGTGATGGGGTGACATAGGCTTTGGCTGGCCCTGGAGGGGTTTGGCGTCTCCAAATGATCCTGGCTGACCCTGGTTCAGGCCATGCTGTTCTTGGGCACATTGCTGGGGCTGTGGGTGAGAGTGGAGTTGAGCCACCCAGACAGCCCTCAGTCGGATGGTGCCCCCAAGTGCTGCACTTGGGAGACTTCATCTTGGTGTGGAGGTGCTTGCCCTTCTTGCTATGGGAGGAAAGGTGATATTGGCTGCTCTGCCTTGCAAGAAGGCTGGCAAATGCTTGCAGGTAGATGCACAGCCTGCTTGGAGCTGTGTGCAGTGTGAGATGGCTTTGCAGTTGGTGCAGAGTCCATGTGTGCACTTTGCTTGCAGGCTGGGGCCTCTGTGCTGCAAGTGCTTGAGCTCCAGGTGAGCACAGCTCATCTTGTCTAGTGAGGAACCCCTTAAGAAGTTTGCTTTAACAAATTAAAACCTATCCATCCCTAAAATTATTTGTTGTGTTAGATGCTGAGAGCCTTTGTGGTTGGTTTGAGCTTTGTGCATCTGAGCAGACAGCAGGGCTCCATCCTCCTGAATGTGTGGGAGAAGGTGTAGGGCTGAAGGCTGTGAGATGCAGGAGGGAAGATCAGACACAGGAAAGGAAAAATCTGGGGATGCTGGTTCACCTCAGGGGTGTTTCAGTGCAAAGAAACAATTGGAGTGTTTTGGAAAATAAGTTGCTTTTTCTATTTCGAAGTTCCCAGAAAAGCAAAACAACCTTCCCTTCCCTTCTCTTTAAATCCCACCTGTTTTGTTTTTTTCCTAGAAAAAAGAAACAAACGTGAAATTCATTAGCATGTGGTGAAAGCAATGTAGCGACGTCATCGTGATTTAAAATCTGTTTTAAATCTTAACATGATGGAGCCAGAATCCTAACTGCAAATAACCTTGCTTTTGTGGGTATAAGGCTGGCTGTCGACGTTATTTGAACATCTCTATTTTTAGTTGGTCAACATCCTTTGTAACAATATTATTTGAAAAGAAAGATGGAGGAAGAAGGAAAGAGTTGGATGTTATCCATGCTAGAAGCCAAATGCAGCTCGCTTTGCTCAGAGATAGCTCTGGAGAGGAAAGCTAGCAGAGCTTGGTGCCCAGGGGAGCTGAGAGCACTGTTAACCTCATGCCATATCCTCAGCAGGCGCTTGTGGTGCTCTTGCTTCTTGCTGTGCTGTTTTCTGACAGTGGGAGATATTGCTAAATATTAATTGTCTGATTCTTGCCCATCGCTTGTGTCATCCTGCTGAATGTCTGTTTAGATACAGTATTTTCTGTAGTGCAGCCTGAGCGTTCAGCTCCTGCAGTCTCCTACTGACAGTCAAAGAAGAGAGTTAAACTGGTTTCTTTCCTAGGACTTGGGATCCAAATATTGTAATCCTAGCATTTAATAAGGGCAGTGAAGGAGATCCTGTAACATCCCCGTGAACCTCATTGCTGCTGCCACTGTGTTGAATATAATGTTTTTGTTTGGGTTGCTTAGTGAAGGTCTGGTGCTAAGCAGCACTGCCTGCCTGAAGTTTTCCTCCTGCTGCTGATCTGCGTGTCTACTTGATAATTGGAAAAGCTAAAAAGTTCTTTTGAGGTTTCGATGTTCAGGGAGTATTTGGCTACTTGGCTTCAAAGTATGCGCTGGTGTGAGACGACAGATGCAGGAGAATTAAGTGAAACTGTTCTGTCTGCCTTGGCCACTTGCTCCCCTCTCGCTCTTATGTGTTTGAGCCCAGAATGGACCTGTACAAGGATTTATTGACCCCTTTTCATTTGCGTTGCCAGCTTCATCCACACCCTAATATATCAGAACATCGTTGCTTTCAGGCAGGAAGGGCAAGCATGCTGTAGCTGGAATGTGTTAGGAACCGAAGCTGTAACTCTGCTGGGAGTAAGTGCCATTCCTTTGCCAGTTCCAAACTAGGCTTCATGAAATTCCCATGTGATTCTTATTTTGTGGTGGAGTTCGTTTCTTACATGCAAATGGTGCACAGCATTAGAGCTTGTCAACAGGTTCGCTTTGACCATTATTTGTTGTGGTCGAATTAAAAATCACCTGCTGTGCAGCAGTGCCTTTTGGGTGCTGCTCAATCATCTGCTGCTGCTTTTGGTGTCTGAGTGATTTACTGTACTGTGATGGGAGTCTGCCACCAAAATATAATCCATTGGTTAGATGTGTATGGGCAGCATGGATGCAGTGCAGAAGCTCTGAGGGGCAGATTGTGGAGCGTTCTCTGGTCTTTTGTGCTGTTTGAGCGTGAATTGCTTTTGGCTGTGTGCTGCTGGGCCTCCCAGCTGGGAGGGCCTTCTTAAGAGCATCTTGGTTGCCTCCTCCTCTGACCTTGGGCAAGCCAGGATGGGTCTGGAAGCAAAAGCAGGAATCCTGTTTCAGTGTTTCTTGGGAACCGTAAGTTAAGATTGGAAACAATATACCAGAGAAAGGCAGATGTGACTGAGAAAGTTTCTGGTAATGTTTTGAGGCTGTAGTTAACTAAGGTTAATTTAATCCATTGGCCAGAAAAAACAGAGGCAGAGGCTGAAGCGCCCGGAACCCTGCTGGTAATGGCCTGTCAGCTGGACACATCAGTTGTGCTCTTACTGCTTGCTCCAAGTGATCCCTCCCCAGGTTGGGCTGGACAGAGATGCAGCAATAGACAGTCAGCAATGATCAGGCTTCACTTAAAGCCAAGCAGGCAACAAATTTGTGCTGAAGAGAGCCCACAAATACATGACACATTTATCTTTCTAGATTTTATGCCTGTCTGTAGCTAGAATCCAGTTCGCTAACGTCAGCATAAATAGGTTTTTCCCTTGACTTCTTCCCTGCCATTAATCCACGCAGTTGCTGAAGGTGAAGCACAAATTCTCTGAAATTGAAGTGCCAGTCCCCTTTCTCCTATACATGTCCACGTAGCTTGGTAGAGGCTATGAATATGCAAAAGCGAGCCTAATTTATGGCCAGCCTGGTTGACCAGGATTAAATCAAAGCAGGACCGAGCAGAAGTTTTTACTCAACCACCCCCTCACGCACAGTTTGATTGTAAAAACTCAGGTTTGGCTTACTCTCTAGAGCCAGCTCTGGGTAGAATTACATTTTGAGTGCCTGATACCACGGGCTCGGCTGTCAAATGAAGGCCAGCCAAATCCCAGTCATCTTGCGCCATGTGCCCTTTGGCAGGTTGATGTGTAATCTTTCTATCTGAGGTGCTTATTTTGTTTCATAGTCTGTTCTCTTTTCTTTTTCGCTCCCCACCACTTTCAGATGTTTGTTGCCGAGGAGAATGTAGATTTTCGGATACACGTGGAGAACCAAACACGAGCAAGAGACGACGTGAGCAGGAAGCAGCTCCGGCTCTATCAGCTGTACAGCAGGACAAGCGGGAAGCACATCCAAGTGCTGGGCAGGAGGATCAGCGCCAAAGGAGAAGACGGAGATAAATATGGTAAGAATATTTACTGGGATCCCCCAGACTTCAGTTCAAAAGCTTTAATTCACTGTGTTGGCCTGAGAACCTCGTGGGAGAAAAATGAGAAGAGCAATAAAATGCAGAGGATCACAGAGAGAAAAAAGAAAAACCTTTTCAGATTAAGAACGTGGAATTTGCTGCGTTAGAGTGGGCTGTCAGCCCAGCTCCCAGCTGCGGGCTGTTCCAACCTGTGGTACTGGAGTGCCCCTGTTTCTGAGTGCATGATGGTGCTTGAAGACAAAAATCTTTCTCTGCCTAGCAGGTGAGCGCACAGCTTTCCTCGTGTTATTTATGTGATATCAAAGTTGGTCACTTAGGATGTTCTTTCCTTATGAACTGTGGCCCTTGGCTTAGTGACTTGGAAACTGTGGTTGTGAACTGAGCTTGAGGGGTGGAAGAATCCCAGTGCTTGAGTGAAGCATCCTTTCATCTTTCTAGAGGAGAGTGTTTGGTTTGAGCTGAAATTAAGCAGACTTCAGAGCTTTAAGAGTGCTTAAGTTGAATCCCGAGGCACGTAGATCCTACAGGGGCACAAATAACTTACACAGGCTAGCAGTGCATTCAGTAATTTCCATCTTGATCTGCATACAAGCATCATGATAGAAGTGCTGGTTGGAGACTGAACTATAAAAAAATTTCCTCGTCTTTGTACACTGGGAGATGGCTTTGGCAGAAGCTTGACTTTTTTTAGGCCTGATTCACAGTTGCTGGAAAGGTTTTAGGGCTGTTTTGAGAAATGGCCCTTTTTCCCTTACGGACACACAGTCCACAGGTGTTGCTGTGTGTGTGTGCAGATGTGTCAGCCAGCATGCACGTTCACATGAGGTTCACCTCACGTGCAGCAGAGGTGGAGGTGGGGTACGATTCGTCTCAGATGGAGGGCGGGTCAAAATGTGAGAACTGTTATTCCATCAGCGGCCTTCGGACAAGTTGACGTACCGTCCATGGTCATCATTTTGCTTGCTTTGGCAGGGGGTTGGACTTGATGATCTCTGGGGGTCCCTTCCAACCCCTACAATTCTTGCCCCTTTCGTTACAGAATCAAAGAAATGTAGGGGTTGGAAGGGACCTCCAGAGATCATCTGCTGTGGCAGAAATGTGTAGTTGTGCCACTGGAGGTGTTAGCTCAAAGGTACCTGGCTGTTGTGAAATGAACCCCCAAGGCTGTCCGCCGACTCAACCGTCGCTCAGAAAAAGCCCTGCCCTGTGGGTTCATCAGCGTTTTCCTTTGTCACTCCAAAATGTCCAGATGAAACAGCAGTGCAAAGTGCCACGTGGCTGCTAATTATTGTGTCATTTTATTGCATTCATCCTCTTAAGGTTTGATATGTAAACTAATCACTGTGTGTTAGCTGCTGGCGTCCCAGGAAGCGCTCTTGCCTGCAGTGAATGTCAGGTAACATGATGCAGTTTTCTTCTCTGTGAAAGAAGGCAGCATTTACAGTGGGGTGCAGCAGGGAAGTGTGCCCGTGAGCAGCTGACAAGTGCTAATTTATGTGTCAAAGCCCATCTTGTCCCCTTCATACATATACAATAATGTCTGAACAACAAATCCTAGCGCAGGAGAGTGCTCGTGACCAGTGGAGAAGCTGCACAATCACAGAGCCTTACATTTCCAGTCTGAGGAGCTCTGTGGTGTGTGCATCGCTGCTTGCCACCAAATCCACTCTTCTGGTTGCTGGAATCCCTCTAAAAACCCGACGTGCTCTGACCATTGAGGCCATTTGCTAACATCCCTGCCTGCTCCCTCCCCCTCTCCTACTAATAAAACTCCTTGATGTGTCAAGCTGCAAAGCCTTCCCATTTCTAGCTATGCTGAAAGGTTATGGAAATCTGTTCATCATCTTGCCTGGCACAGGAACACTTAGAGCATGATAATCGGGTAGACAGTGAGGTGGGGCATGAAGGTCCAGGATGTGACCATGCAGAGCTCCTAGCTGTGATAATGAAGGGGGGAGAGATGTCAGAGTTACTGAAGTGAGAACCATCTGTGTTACAGCCAAAACTGGATACAAAGGCAATGACACAGGATTCATTATGTGCTGGGAACCCCTCCCCCAGAGGCATTATTATGGAGTAACCTTTGATCGAGACCAGAGAGAGGCTTAAACCAGGTCCGGAGATCTGAACAGTTGTGAACTTTTGATCCAAATCTCAGTGCTGCTGGTCAGATCTGCCTCTGAAGGAGGACACCTTACCCTCTTAGGCAGCAGATGGCTGTTTTTCCTACTGCCCTTTTTCTCTTCTTTCCTCTTTTTCCTGCCTTTAAGTTGGCACAGTGAGTCAGAGCTTAGCATTTGGGAGTGCCTGGTTCCCACTTCTTTTCTTGGCTGCAGACGATGCAGTCTCCCACAGCTTTTCCCCTGTCTTAACCCAGTCCCCACGGAAAGGCGAGATCATGGTGGAGGTGATGTGAATTGATGTTGGAAGGATTACAGAGGCTGAGTGTCAGCCCAGGGAAGGCTTTGAGAGGACGAGCAGAAGCCAATATCTGAGAAAAGGCAACAGATGTGGGAAAAGGTGCCTGTGGAGGTGGAACGTGAGCTGGCTCCAGCCCTGCGTTCTCCTGCCTACTCCTTCCTGAACAGCATTTCAAACACGGGCAGGGCTATCTCTGAACGCCTCTGCTGGGCTCCAGCTCTGCAGTCATTGGGGACAGTTGTATCCGCTCAGGCACAAGTACAGGCCATGCAAAGAGGTGCCAAATTGGAAAGCTGTGAGGTGCGAGTGTTACCGAGTGTGCTTCCAGCTCAAAGACTCACTGCTGCAGGGTGTCCGGGCTGGGAGCAGGAGGCTTATCAGAGGTTAGGAGGTGGAGTGCGCAGGGGGCAAGAAGCTGGTTTCTTGGCTTTTCAAAATGATGCTGTGTCCTTCCAAGAACTCGGTCCCATTAAAGGGTGGTAATATTAGGCAAGGGCAGGGCAGCTCAGACTTGGTGTGGGGAGCAGGGCTGACTTTGTTGAGAGAGAGACCATGGCTGTGGTCCGTAACACGCATCGTGAACGATAAGCACTAGTCAATTTTGAAGTTGGGGAGGCAGTAACATTTTAGCACCTCTTTCCCCCCTCCTCCCATACTTTTACAACTGGTTAAAGAACAGTGTGTCCAATTGAAGAGAGGCCTTTTATTTTTTTGCACATATACAGCTTCCAAATGGCTGGCATGTGAGGGTTATTCTGCCTTTGAAGGAATGGAGAGTTGGTTAGTTTTATTGCAAGGTTTTATTGACTTCTGTAAAACTTCTCACCTCTTGGTTGAAGAGAATGCCCAGAAAAGAGGGGAAGTGACAAATCTCAGGCAGTGAATTGCTCGTTTCCAGGCAGCCATCACAAGTACAGCTAAATGACAAGCAGCAAGAGAGCGATCTGCAGGGCCAGGAGAAATCCAGTGTGAGGAAGGGCCCTCAAATGTTTTATTTGGGCCTCCATGTCCCACAAATGAGGAAAAATGCAACTCTGTGATGCATAGTTTTATTGGCGTGATAATTTGGGTATGTGATGTTAGGTTTATGTGTTGTTCAGGGCCAAGATCTGGCCCCATATGTGGAATTATTAAATGGCAAATTAAGTCAGTTAATAGAATTAATTGAGTCGATGTAAACCTTTTAATCAGATAGATTTGGTCCTTTCTCAGATGAATTAGAATCCATTAACAGATAAGTCAATTATTGGACTAAATTAAATCTAATAATAATGCCTGCTGCTCACAGCTACTAATTAATCTAAATACACTCACCTATCTCCCAAGGTTGTGGGTTGTTGTTTTTTTTTTTTTTAAAGGCTTAATTGATGTTCCTAAAGTGCTCTGAGATCTTTTAGATAACAGAAGGATCTATGTGAGCAAAATATTATCTCTTCGCAGACTATAAACTAATTAAAAGACTGATCTATTTACAGATTGCAGGTTTACTTTAATCTCCTCGACCTATTCGGAAGAGTTTGCACTGGCTCAGAAAAACAATATTCCTGCTATAAGCTTATTATTACTTTACAGGTTCCTAAGTGGTCCTTTCATTCAGAAAATGAAAGGGGGAAGGAGAAAAAACAACCATTAAAGTGCTGACAAAAAAAGAAAAGGACCTGGAACCTTTATATTCTACCTCCGATAAATGGTACAGATAGGGAAGAGAGGGATCAGTGACCTGAAACCTTAGATCCTTTCATTTATTTTCATTTCACAAAAGGCAGAAGACATTCTATCCTGTTTGTTCGCTATCTTTGTATCCGGTGCAGTTGGTGAGAGAGCTCTCTTGGTTGGGTGAAGGCATTTTTTGCCTCATTTGTATTTCACAGCCATGTGATTTTTGTTTTAAAGTGTCTACCGTTGTCCTGAGGGGCAAAGCACAGGCAAAGCACAGTGATAGACGTGCAGACAGATGTGACGGACATTTGTGGGGTGTTTGAGCTCACCCTCCACTAACTCCATGGGGAGTTAGTTTTTATTTATGGCAAGTACTTGGCTGACCATGAGGCAAGGATGTGACATATGCAGGTGGGTTATTAGTTAGCCAACGCTGGGTCTATCCCAGGTAAAGAAATCTCTTGTAGTTTGTAAGGTGGGAGGCTTTCTCCGAGGATGTTCCACACAAGGGGCACAGCACGTAGGTGTGCTTTCTCTCCTTCCTGGCATCCTGTTGGCTCTCAGTGTTCTTGGCTGCCCAGTTCCAGCAAGGTGCCCTCGAGAACTCCCTCTGATCTCGGTGGCGTTAAGCTCAGGACTCAACAAACGCTCCCAGAACAGGTTTTCGGAGACGTACAAAGCATGTGTTTGCTTACAGGGTCAGAAAATCTGGGATCAGGCAGCCCAAGAAGGAAAGCAAAGTCAAGAGGTGTCGTGCATGATGAAACTGGATGTATCACAGGTGTTGGTGCTAACACATGCTCCATGCATGTGTCCTTTTTTGGTCAGCTCTCAAGCTCTGAAAGTTGCAGTTGGCAGCTACAAGCGTACAGGGGAAGCCAAGTGCTGGTGGAGGT